ATTCTAACGTATCATTTCTCACGTAACATTTCTCATGCATTAATTAAGCAAAATGCTTCAAACTTGCTAGTGAACCGAACTGTTTGATGCTTGGCTGCCTGGGAAAATTATTGAATTTTTAACCAACCAACGAGCAGTGCATTTAACTAAAGCAAAAGTATTTCGTCTTGCCATTCACCAATGGAGCGGGGGACTGCATCCCAATTCCCCGATGTTAAGTAGTACGGATAAGCATTCATTGAGAAAAATAATTAAACTCATTAACAGGACGTTGGTTGATGGGTAGATGGGTACAATGGCTTAGTGGTTAAAGTGGTTGTAAATGAAGAGTTCGAGTTCGGATTACTTCAATTTATTCAATATTGTCAGCATTGTGTTTACCTCACCATATGAAGAAAATTTATATAGCTTGAGATTTGCTGACATGATCAAATCAATGAATGCTAATTGTCATAGTTACACTGATGGATCATTGTAATCCTTTTCAATCTGAATAAAATAAAGTCTGTACAAAATCATCAACTTGAACAAAAAGTCTTTCTTTATCATTTGGTTTACAACAATGATATATCACATATTCATGTAAAGACATTCATGGTGAACATTTGGAAGAAGAATGGTTTAAATAAATATTTGAAATGACTGTAAAATGAAAGCTTTCATAGAAAATTTGCGTAATATTTCTTATTTTTTATTTTTAAAAAACATTCAAATTATAATTTCCAAATATCATAGCAAATTCTCATAAAAGAATAATAAAAAAAAGTATTTTTTAGCCATATTTCTCATTGATTACAAGAAAAATTGACATTATCAATGAATATTATTCATAAAATAATAAAATCAATAATTGTTCACGAATTTGTAGGCATTTTTCAAAAAAGAGAAAATAAAATGTGAAAAGAAGCCCTCTATGAATAAAAATGAGCAATACATCAAGGATCATTCTAACGACCAATTCATTATGTTAAGTGCTTTCAGGAAATGAGGGAATAAGGGGACATAAATATATTGCTCACTTATTACTTCATTCTATGACTATTTTCAATTCATTTTTTGAGGATAATTTCTTTTTTAATTATTGGATTTCTGTTCATTATTAAATATAAAAGGCATAATCTAAGCTTTTATATTCAAAGAAATGGGAAAGGTTTTTTGTTTTTGAATGCAATGGACGTAAATATTAAACTATTTTGTTGGTTTTACAACAGTTCGATTTTAGTATTGGGCTGTGATTATTCCGCAATTAATATGAAAGGAATCATAAATGCAGGAACAAAAGTTTAATGGCATATGCTTATTTGCTTATTTTTTTTGAATTAATGGTTATGTCAAGAAAAGAAAAGAAAAATACAAATTTAATTGAGAATTTTGTTTTGTATGGTCCAGGTTAGAATAAACAATGTTTAGTACCGTTTTTTATTTCAGTTTAAATTTAACAATAACAAAGAAAAAACAGGATAACTTTTAGTCAATTCATCTCCAATTTAGTAATTAATTAAAATGAAACAAAAAAGGACAATAAAGGAATCGATTTGCGTGACATCGATTTGTGATCTGTTTTGAAATGTTCTTTTGAAGTTGAATAAATGAATTGAAAGGAAAATTTATTGAAAGTAATCGCTGTCATTTCGATGCCATTTTCAATGTTACTGTAAACAGGATGGGAATTTTTTTTTGAGAAAATATGCGTTAAAAAGATTAAATATTTGAAACATTTTAATGATAACCGTCTAACCTCAATAATATCGTTTAGGCCTTCTGTCTGCAAAGTTGGGGGTCGATTCTTCGAGAACAAGGTGATACGGTTTGTCTCCAGTCATTTTAACTTCCTTCCTAGGTTATCTATCCACACCTAATAGGGCACCTACTCAACACTTTGCAGTAATAGTTCCGATTTTCGATAGCACAACACTAATGTTAGATGTACCTTTTTCTTGTGTGTCGACTTTTTATTCGGATTTAACAATTAGTCGAAGCGAGAACTGTTCTTCTCCAAAAAGTTCCCAGGAAAAGAAAAATAAATGAAGTTAAGCCTAATTGTCATTTATTAAGATTATACAAATAAGGGTAACATGCTTGTTTGCACAATGGTAACTGCGATAGTGACTTATTCCAGTTAATATATTTATAAGTTTCAATGTAGAGTAATCTAATAATTAATCTAATAATCTAAAAAAAGTAATCTAATAATCTCGTAGTAAAACATAGTATAAAAGGTAGAGTATGTTAGCAAATTCGAAATTTATTATTGAACGATGACTGACATCAGCAATGGAGATATAATGTCATTTATAAAAAGTTAGTGATTATTGCACTGTTTCGATCAAAGATTTTGAATTTATAGAAGTAATAATGAAGATGGGAAAAATTGGTGAGTGTTGTGATATGAAAATAAAAAAATGCTTCCTCATTTTTCTTCACAATCAGTGAAATGCTATTATAAAATTAAAAAAAATCTTTTTGTTTATCGCTTTTTAAATACTTTTTTGCTTAGAAACATTGGATTTTGAAGCATTTCATGGATGGAAATATCCTTCCTTTACAGTTCTTTGTACCACTCATTATTGTCAGAATTAGAATTTCAGGTTTAGTCACTGGAATTTGTCATTTCTAAAGTTCAGCATGAGTAAAAAGCTTCTAAGTTAGTTTGAATCAGTGCAAAATGGAGCAAAAAACAGAGGAAAATTTTTTAAGAAGCTTGTATGGAGACGGTGAGTAAATTTGTTGAGACGAATTACGTTCTAAGTCTGAAAATGTTTCATGCTTACATAAAGATACACACACACACACACACACACACACCACATATATATATATATATATATATATGATATATGTATATATAGAAAAAAGAAGTAATGAAAGGAGAAAGAACCTCAAAGTTTCTAGGCTATATCTGACTAATACATTTCAGAATGAAAAGAAAATGGCAACTTGTGACATTTTAAACAGAAAGGGTGGGGAAGTTCAAAGGTCACTCAGGCGTCCTTTAATGTCTAGTTCGTACTCCGATGAATTAATTGACTAAAGCAAATCGTTTATGTAAAGAGGTTTTTCGTTTTTTGCAAGCATTATGCTCTTATAATCATAGAGTTTTTTATTGCCAAGAGCAAATTTACATGTGAATAGAAATACTTAAAATATAATTATAAAGTGGTGACTTCATCGGAATAAGGAGATTTGTGGAGAATAAAATGAACAAAAAATGATTGTGAGATCTCAAACCTGTAATTTATTCGAAATATGTAGCTGATGTTCGTTTCTTCCTTGTGGAACTGTTGGGGTTCAACAAAATATGAAAGTTTCTATGAGGAAGTTAGAAAGGCTTCAGTTGATGTTGATAGAATATAGAAAATTTCAGTTTACTTGTACAGTTGGTCATATGGGAAATCACTTACGTAAATAACACTCATTTGTTTAGTTTTTGAATCTACTTCCTACTATTCTTACACTCCAGAAAATACTGCATTGAAGAAATAGATATTCACAATGCACAAGTAACAAGTACTATACAAAAAAGCCATATTTTCAGTGCGATTCGAATTGCAGGTGAGTAAATGACAAAAACCATCGCTTTTTTCATATCTTTTATCTCTTGTATGCAAAAATATGCTAATTTTTTTTTTGCTTGGAATGAACAAACATTGATAATCAGGTCATAGTGATGGTATTTGAAGCGCCATCAGTGCCATCTTTCAGCTCTTCTAAATTGTCCATTGGCAATTCTGAAATGAACCGAATGACTGCTCAAGTAACCTATTTGCAATTTTTTAAAATTGTATGATCCAGAAGTACTGCATCTCAAAATATGCTAATATGCTACATAATTCATGCATATTTTCTTCCCAACAAATCATTTTGATAGAATGTCTTTCTACTGTAGGAAGAGCTTCTGATCAGTAGTTTTCGTAGAGGCTACAGAGTGCAGCAGCAAGAGAAAAAAATAGAAACAGTGGTTTCTTTTGATGTTGGATCTTTTTTTATCAATATTTATTAAAGCCAATCCTGACTCTTCATTACCACTGGATCTTTGCTTCTCTATAACAAGCATTCGAATCTTCAATAACATTCACAAGACTTACAAAGAAAAAGATTAAAATATAATACTTGAACTTAGGTTTACAAACTTCAATGTAAGATCACTCTAGGAGTATTACATCGATATTGGAATCAATTTGATTGTTATCAGCAAGTTCTCGTCCTAGGGATATTTCCGATGAGTAAAGTTGTGTTATTTACCAAAATGACAAAAGAAAATAAACACTGGTGATTTTGTTTTATTCATTAGTACTTTTCAAAATCTATTCTCCGCTTCAGTTATATCATTTTTTACAGGCAATTAGAAACTTCAGAAATAATACATATGTGGGGAATAAACTTCAGTTTTATTGAAATAGACTAATTTTTCTTAACTTTTGAATCAAAGGAAAATATTTTGAAACATCTTTACCGGTGGAAAGGTATTAATACTTTTGGAACAATAATTTGCTGACGAAAACTAACAAAGTTGAGGTTTTTTTTTTTTATATTTCATATATTTACGAGAATACTTTCATTTGGCGCTTATTGCTCCATAAAAAAAAATGACGTAGCTTGAACTAAGCTTTGTAACACGATTTCAATACTTTTTCAATTATTTTCAAAGCTGAACAATATAGGATTCGTAGAAACAATGATCAGTATAAAAAAATAAAAAAACAGTTTGACCCACATTATTGAAGTCAAATAAGATTAGCGGAGTTTCTTTATTAATTAAAGCCAACAATGGATGAGTTAACTCAGAACTTTACACGCACGCATACGCACACATACACACACACACACAGACACACACACACCACACACACATATATATATAGCGTGCTTTTATTGTAGCATATAGACATACACAAATAATTTAACTTTTCCTAATCCAGTAGAGTAATCAGGATTAGTAGACTCCTAAATTTCAATTAAGATGAATGCTGATTAGATTTAACTAATATTTAACAATTAAATTACAATGCAATTATCATCGTTATCTCCTTGTCCACAAAAGATAATATTTCACCCTGTGGACAAGCTGAAATTTAACAAATTTGTTTATGGACTATGAATTTTCAAATGGAAGAGGTTTTATTGAAATAGACTAATTTTTTTTACTTTTGAATCAAAGGAAAACAGCATTCTAAAATATATGCATCAGTTCAGTTATATAGATCTTTCGCAAAATTCATTAACTTCTCAATAATTAACAATAGCGAGCAGTTATCAATACTGTACGCTAACATATTAGAAGTAGTCTTGATGCAAAATAAAGCTCGAACTTCGATTTTGTCGTAAAACAGTTCTGTGCAATCAGACCAAAATTCGCATTTTCTTACCATATCTATTCTACATCTAAGAACTTAGTCATCTAGCCTCTTTCTACCTATTGGAAAGAATGGATTTTAAGTGTCCACTTATGAACTACAAAACGGTCGGTGACTGCAACAAAAGAATTAACATAAAAACTTCTTAGCAAATAAATTAATACTTCCACAAGTTATTCGCCGATGGTTCGACGAAATAAGATTAATATTGTGAGTAGATTAACGTCCGAAAAGTGCCATTAGTTCTTGATCGAGTAGCTTATTTGTCTTCCGTTCTATTTGTCGCACAAAATTCTATGTTTTGTGCCATAATCATTAGGAAATAACTTCCAGAATTGTTAATTATTTGCTGAAAAAAGCTTTTGCATAGTCACTGTTTCCATTCCTCCAGAAAGAACTTTTTCTAAGCCTGCTTTACTAGGATCACCGGTTAACACTTTGGTTTCTTGATTTTTTAGAAGCAGTACTAAATTTACTATCAATCCAGAATTTGAGACTGACTGAAAGCAATATTTCATGGCAAGCTATGGTTTTCCCCATAACTTCAAAAAATATCATTATTTCCTGATTAAATGTTGAGCTAAGTTATTTCGGATATGAAAACAATTGTTTTATCTTTGTGAAAGTCAAGCTTTGCAAAGTTTTCAAAAATTAAAACAATGAGGAATAGATCGACCATTAAAAAAAGTAAAAAATGGAAGTAGAAATTGTTACTCATGATGATCTGCTATTATTAAGGCCTGCATCTATTGATAATTCCTAAATTCTTAAAGTTTTATAAAAAAATGTGAAGGTGGAAATGGAAACGAAGATTTGAGTTAAAATTTGACACAAGCTGGAAACTTGTATTATCTGACAATAAAATCTCGAATTTGAAATGCCAGATGAAAAAGGAATAAATGTTTCTTAAATTAGTCAGATAATAGAAATATCGGGTTCCACTATGCTTAGCCATATTTTCAGGCTGGTACATCAACAGACCCATTCATACTACATACTCATTCCTCATGGAAAGGCTTTATTAATTTCAGTTAACAAACTAGCTTCACATATCATTATAAAATTGGAAAAAATGAATTTTTTTCTTATTCATTTTCAAAGGTTACGAAAACGATTGATTTCTTGTTAACTCAATGAGGAAAAATAACACTTTTCTGAAATTTAAAAACCAGAATTTCATTATTTTTTTGAAAAACCATCAATGAAATACTTACTAATGTTGAATATAGGATATATCTGAAATTATCTTGATATAAAGATTTGTTCCATTTCAATGATATAAATGGAGAGACAATTAATTAAATACATTAATAAACTAAAAAACAAGTAAACATACTGTCCAATTATGTAAAGATCAAAAGTTATATTCGGAAAACGGGAATGAATTTTCCACGATAGCTAGTTTCCTTTCAAGGTTGATATAGAATTTTATATACATGAACAGAATTTTAGGTCGAATCATATTTCGAAAGGGAATATAGATGTCTCATGAAAGTCTTTAATGTCGGGAACATGGCTTAAAGATTTTATATTATATTAAGGCAAAAGAACAGTTAAATTAATAAGATTAGCAATTCGCAAATACAGCGAAGAAAAATGAAATTAATAAGATTAGCAATTCGCAAATACAGCGAAGAAAAATGAAATTAATAAGATTAGCAATTCGCAAATACAGCGAAGAAAAATGAAATTAATAAGATTAGCAATTCGCAAATACAACGAAGAAAAATGAAGAAATTTTGGCAATATGAAAAAACAAAAGTGCTACAGACATTGTTCATTGAAAAGAAAAAGCAAAATTACATTTAATTTTGCAGCTAGAATTAAAGATCACACTGCCAAAGTAATAAAATTTTCGCAAAAAGACTATATATTTTATTTCCTTTCATTTTCTTCACTTTTGTTTCCATCATAGTGAATTTTTACAAGGATATTTTTGCTTTGTAATCATAAGCAGATATTTGATTATCCATAATATTCCGTAGATCCAATTTTCTTAACAGTTTCGGTAATCTGAAATGAAATATTTGGTGATGATTCTGTAAGCAAATATTGAGCAGAGTTGAAAACAAATCAGCGAAACGAATAGTGTAATGAGATTCAAAATTCTTTGTTTGAAATTCATCAACAACTCGTTAAAGGTACTATCTAAATCTTTCAAAAAGAGTTTCCTAATCATTGGAAGAATAAAAACAAGAAAAATGATGATGACATTTGTTTTTCTTTTTATATTTTCCACTTAAGGGAATTTTGCTTTGAAATTTAATTAGCACACAATTTCTGAAATAAAAAAAATTAGCTCAATTTGAAATGCTGTAATTAAAATAATTATGCGCTGCTACCAAGTAAAAAAATCACCGGCAATTCAACTATTAATGAAAAGTTCATCAATGTAATGACCTTGAGTTTTTGACATAATGAATAAATTGTTGTCCGAGAGAGTGATCATCAGGTCGGGCTGGTTTTTTGTGTGACCGCTAAAAATATACAATATCGAATGTCCACGCAGTTCTGGTAAGCTTACTTATGAAATTTTCTCCGGTTTTTTTCCTTAATTCCATCAGTGAATGAGCAAAATAAGATTAATAACAATGTTATGCTTGCCAAACTTGATATTTCAGCTATTTCGTTTAAGCTTATTCTATAACTATAATAACTCATTTTAGTGTCATCAACTTTGTTGATAAGCTTAACATTGAAGTAACTTCCTTCGTCTTATTCAAAACTGTTCAGTATGATATCTTTCCACCACTTCCGTTTGTTAGCATCACTTCATGTCAAGACAAAACGATACCAAAATAGCATAATGTGTAGGATTTGTTAAGGCAGCACAGTGATAGCGCATTGGAAAGTGTGATGTACCTGAGAATTATACGTGGTGAAGTTGGATCAGTTAAATGGATCAGTTGATGGCATCTGTTAGCACTGGTTTTCGAGCAACTCAAGATTGTAGTTTGTAGAGTTGGAGCCTTACAAAGGATAAGGGGGAAGATTAGAGCTGGTTGTTAATTAGGATCATTTGGATGTTGTGGTAGGCAAGAAGAGAACACAAAGGGCAGAGGGCAAGGGATGGGACTATTAGGAATGATATAATGACAATTGGATTACTAAATCCAATGGATTATTCCCATCCAGCTAGTCTGCTGTCATTACTGCAACGTCATACATTTCGATATCGTGCTGTTACATTTTTCGGCCTTCTCTTGGATCAGTTTTTAATTTTAGTTTGGAATTTCATTTCCCTACTACTTATTAAGCATAACTATAGGGCGTGGTCACTTTATTGCTATTGGATTGACCTCAATCAGAGTATTTCCAGACAAATAAAGGAGCAATATGGTAGAATCTTCAAAAAATTTGGAAGTGCATCATCCGGTATTGATTGGGAAAAGTTAAGTTTGAAAAGTTTCATCAGTGAGTTTCATCAGTGAAAAGTTTCATCAGTGTTTCATCAGTGAATTGTACTGGACGGTTTAATGCCTAGTATTGTTAATTCATTTCAGAAGGTCGAACCATTTCGGCTGAGTCACTATCGCAGATTTGTTGACAATTCCATTAATTGCTTGAATCACGTGCGATCTCTCGGACACACATTACAGAGAAAAGCGAATCTATATCTATTTCTATATGCTAGAGAGTTTGACAATTGATTGAGACGAGGAATTTGCATAGTCTTCGATGTTTTTTAGGAAACAATTAATATCTTAAGTGGAATTTATATAATATGATAAATCAATCCTTCATATTAATCTATCCTAGTAATGCAACGTAATGTATAAGATTGCAGTACATACGATGTCACTTCTTTTTGTCAAGCTTAATTTGGCTTACTCTGTGTAACTTTCTTTTAGTTAAGTGATTTTGGAATAAGACGGAAAGTTTTCGCACCATCATATTAAATACGAACAATTTGAAAAACCAACCACTCAATCGGAATTGCTTTCCATCAGACTATTCGAAATGATGAGTTGTATTGAATAATGGATATCAGTACGGGTGAGGAAAAAAAGGACTGAGTAGGAATTATTTTTGAATTATCATCGACTGCTTCAAAACTGACAAGAAAATAAAAAGGTAGTATTATTTTGAAAACATTTCAATTTAGCTTTACTTCTATGATTCGATATGTCCACAAAATTTGTGTTTCCTGTACCATGAGGCTGTGCGACATCCAGGCGCTCTCATTTTCAAAAATACTCTAAAAACATCTTTTGTTGTAAAACATCTTTGATACATCTTTTGTTTGGTCCAAAAAAAACTTTTTTTCTGGCATTTAATGAGATAATATCCACAGACTGATAAGGTCACGACTGGAAAAATTATATTCCTAAAAAAATAATCGTTTACATTAGTTTTTTAATAAAGCAGGACGAGCATTCATGATCAAATGACTTGCAATATTAGTAATGATGATTAATGATGATTACTTTTACTCTTGATTGATGTTAATTCGTGTTTTAAACCGAATTTTAAAATTTCAGTCAAATTAAAAAATCTTTTCAAGACCGGAAGCTTTAATTGATATTTAATTTCAAAGCTTGCTTTTAGTATTTTTTATTCCCAGATACTTCCTAACGAGCTCCTCTCAAACTGCAATTTTTCTTGAAGGACTACTTTTAAAACGATATGCAAGCATTCAGTTTATGAAACATAATTCTTTAGAATATAAAATTGGGTTAGTAATTATTTTCACCAATCAATAATTACCGGAAAAATTGTCATAAGTGAAAACTATGCCTGTATCTATATTGAGTTATTTCTTAGGCCTCATCGAATAACTTTAATTTTTTTGAATGTGAACTTGTATGATCCATTTATAGGAAAAAGAAAAGGAAATGGTCTTTTTTAAATAAAATTTTTTGTTGTCAGTGATTGAAAATGTAGTCGCCCGATTGGCCAAAAGTATACATATTATTTATTTACGTATTATGCCTACCCAGCCTGGCTAAATTGTTATGGTTCCGCTAGTACTTGCCAACAATTCATTTCATGAATGCGTGCATGGTACAGTGTATCAATTTGCCGTTTATAATTGGGCGTATTCACAGGTATAATTGTAGCTGAATAAATATATTGCCTAAATTTTTAGTTTAAATTAAAATTGGAACCAACTCTTGTAACATTCCTAATGTAACTAACACTAACACTTTCTTTTCTTATAAATCTTTTTTTTTCATCCTATTAAGAAAATGTTTTCTTTCTTAAAGCAAATGGATGAAGGATTTATCATTATCCATTGTAGTGGATTTTTAGAAAACAAGAAAAGACATTTTGGTAAAGTTTACAATAAATCAGTCTATCAATAATTATTAATAATTATTATTAAATTCATTTTTAAACTATTTCAAATTATATGGTCATTTTTCACTTTTACACGATTTTTCGTTTTTTTTTTTTTTTTTTGTATAGATTTTCAAATACTTTTAACACTTCGACGTAACTAAATGAACCCAAAGCTCAAGCTTCCAACATACCAAATACTATATAATTGTGTATGATCACACACTTATAATGGATGGATCAAGTGATGAACTATAATGCATCGAATGGCAACATCCATCCTGTCAAAAAACCCAACCATATAACAATCTATGATATATTCATGAGGCAATCCGCCCATCCGAGCAATTTCTGTCAAAGCGATGACAAACGATAGTGAGAACTGTTCTGAAAGTATCGCCTCCTAGAAAAAGCTTATTCATTAAGAATTTCTCTCTTTGATCGTTTTGGCCTTGGAAATGAGTAGAAGAGGCATAAGTAATTTGAAGGCTTAATCTTGATTAAAAACTGGATGGAAATGTTGGCAATGAAACTTTCTAATACATTTGTATGCTTTTTTTTGGAGAGATACTTTTCCGTATTGGTTTTGAGATATCTACTGCATTTCTTTTTAGCGTACAAACTGAGCTATAATCATTAAAAATCCTTCCGAGATTATATTAACAATATTCCTTAATATCAATATTCTATCACAATAATTAACAAATGAATTGAGACATTAATTCATTCAACTAAAAAGTAACATTCAAAATTCGCAAATGAAATGACGAAATAGTTTCAGTTCCAAATATTATCAGTAGTGATAGGTATTTATGAGGATGCTGTCCCATCTGATTGATGTAACTACACTGATGGTCCAATTTAGAAATGCTCCAGTTATTGAATTAATCTGTTTCTTACAAATAGTTCGATATAATGTACTTTGAGACAATTTCAAACGATACTATTTAATTATTTAATTACAGGAATGTGGAATGTGATAGGTACTTGAAACAGTGAAGCTATCTTTTTGTCTATACTGTTAAGGACGAGCAAAGAAGTCTATTACCTATCTTTTTTCATCCTCAACGTTGAAATTCAACACACTAAAACGGTGATAATTTTGAACCGAACTAATTATCAGTTGCTGTTAGATAACCTTTTCGAAAAATTTTACGCTTAGGTAAAATCAGAAGCAAAAAGAAATGATATCAGGTTGCTAGGGATATATCACAGATATTTGTCAGGAAGACAGAGTCATATAATATCTCTGTTTTAAACCGACTTATGAAATTTCCAACGCGCATAAAGTCGTACAAAGTAAAAATTTTATGCACATTTTAAGAATTTCAACAAACTAATGATATAATGATAGAAAAGATCAATCTTTTGAAATGATGATATTAGAGTGGCACAAGGAAGATCATTTATATTTCCCTCCACATAAAATATTTTAAAGTAAGTTTGCGAATTAGTATTACAATACTTTTGAATGACTCTTGAATTTTAATTACCAGCAATATATTTAATCAAATAATATATTCCAGTCAGATTTTATATTGATAAAGCAAGTTTGGCATTAAGGTGGCATCGGTGAGGAAAAGAAATTTAATATGTGTTACGTAAATTGTTATGATAATTAAAAAATGAAGGTAGTAGGACTGACTGCTCAATGGTTAAACTCTAGTCTTTTAAAATATAAAAAGACTCTAGAGACACAATAATTCAATGATTGGGAAAAAAATAAAAAGGACCCCCTCTCATCATTTGTTAAGGCAAGGTAAGTATTACTACTACGTATTAATTAAAGTTTGGCAGAGGTGAAGCATGAGGAAGGTCTAATTAGAATTACGATGACACTAATTGGATAAATTTATAAAAATGT